CCAAGAAAAAAGTGTGGAGTTCTTGGAATGGTGGTAACCTCCTTGTGAGTCCAAAAATTATCTGCAGGAACTGATAATACTTCTGAGGGACAAAGGTCTCCATGCAGAATAGGTGTATGTTTGCAGACCACAGAGCTGAGATACAATAAAAATAAAATTTTATGGTATGTGGGCACAGCAGCTCCTGTTGAGCATTGAGCTGTAGGACATTGCCTTAGGAAACCTATGCAACAGAGGACTGAAAACTAGAAAAACAAAGCTGCCACGTGGAAGAGAGGTGGAGAGATCACAGGCACAGCTGGACTCCTGCTCCTGCAACAGCAGGGGACTGCTGGCCAGAAATGGCCCCAAGGAGCCCTGGCAAGGAGCCATGTTCAGTGCTGCAGGGGAAGGTGGAAAACCTCTGGGGACCTGCGCTGATCTTCCCAGGAGAAAAAAAAATCCTTCCATGTGAACAAGACCTGCTGCCCAGCCCCCTGGGGCTGCCCTGGTTACAAGGACACCAGCACTGCCCAACCCTGGAGGCATCTCAGGGGCTTCCAAGCACAGCAAAATACTCCAGAATTGATAGGCCTAGGAGAAAAGATGTCATTCCCAGTCCCTGCTGGAGACCATTGGGTGCTCCAGAGTGCTGAGTGAACAAAAGCCTGTCGATCCCTGCTAGTGCACAGGCCTTGGAGCCTGGTTTGCTGGACCCATGGCAGAGCCCATGCAGGTATTTCCAGCTGCGGGAGGCAGCAAGTCCAGGCAGTGGTGCCTGGTGAACCTGTCCCCAGCAGAAACCAAGAGGGCAGGAAGGTTGGCTGAGCACATGATCCTGAACTGCCCGGAACAGCGCAGGTTGGTCGCCGGTGGTGGCAGGATGCTCCCATCGTTGTGGAGTGACCTTGGACTGATGGTCATATATTTAGTCCTTAGCCCTTGGGAACCTGAACTCTGTCTGCAGCAGCCCCAGGGCTGGCTTGAATCTGGCTCAGGAAGAGGACAGGGCAGTGGAGGAGGTGCAGCTGTGGGAGGACCAGGGGCTCTGCCCCCGCAAAGCCTTGAGGATCTGGGACTGTAGACCCAGAGGTTGAGATGTTTCTTGTTCTGGTAGCTGCTACCAGGATCCTCAGAAGCTGCTCCAGCATCCTGGGCTGCTCTGTCCTCGGGCCCTGTGTGGGCCCATGGTCCAGCCCCAGTGCAGGCTCCCTTCTCTGGGAGCAAGCAGTGGGTCAGCAGCACAGCCCCTGCCTCTGCTGGCCTTGTCTTCACCACCCTCCTGGGTGAGGAGGTCCCACAGGTCTTCTTGCTGACACTGGGACCTCCCACATCACTGAGGAGAGGAGACTGGAGAAGATTCAGGGAGGGGAAGGGAGATGTGGGGCCAGAGCTTGAGAGGAGGGGTTCAGTGGAGAGGGGAGGGGATGGACCTGCCCTGGCAGGTGGCAGGACCTCCCTTGCAGGAGTCTGGGCTGGTCCCTGTGGACCTTCTGGATTTAAATCCCTTGCTGCTGGGCAGTGGGAGTACCCCGGGACAGCAGCACTGGGTTGCTCCTGTTGGACTATTTGCCACGTTTCTTTTTGGGAACAGGGTGGTTTCTCTTGTGCTGTGCTCCCGGGCTGTGCTTGCTGGGGGGGATCCTTGTTTTGCAGCCAGCCTGTTGCAGGGCCAGTTCCCCATTCACACTGGGGTTTTTAGAGGTGGGGTACAATGTTCCTCAGCACCACAACAGTGGCCTGGTATTTTGATAACCCACTCCTCAGTGTCCTCTTCCAGCAGATGCTGAAGGTGTTCCTGTGATGTACAGGGCCTTGTTTTGTTCAGGGACTAGGTTATGAGCTGGTTTCTTGAGGCAGGAACATCAGCAGCCTGACCTCATGTGAGCCAGTGCATTACCCTGCAGTTGCTAGCAAGGTTTTATGGAGGATCCCAGGTTCAGTTACTTCGTGTTGTACATGAGCTTATTTCCCTTCCCCAACAGAGAGGAGATGCTGCAGGCGGTGACATGATCCCGTCGTGTCTCCTGAGCTGGTCTGGCAGGACAGGCTGGTGCCTTTCTGCAACCAGCTGGGTCTTGGGTGACTTTCTGAAACATCTCCATGTGCTTGCTGGGGCTGAGGCTGTGGGCAGCCAGATGGCTTCTCCTCTGGTCATGTCGGCTGAAATCCTATCAAGAAACATTTTGCTTTTGCCTGGTTGACTCCAGGAGCAGAGGAGAGACATCCAGAGCTCTGCACTGTCCTCTGCTCTGACCTTCTTTAAGAGGCTGTGGGTGGCTCAGCTGGAGCACAGCTTGTGCCTCCAAAGGGAGGCCATCAGTGGGGATATTAGGAGATGTGAAGTGGGCCTTGAGGGGATGGCTTTAGATTGCTGTCTTTAAGGTCCAAACAAAGCAGAGGCATCGCAGACAAATTCCTGATACTCAGGGACAGAACCTCTGACATCCCCCTGAAGTCCCTTGTAAAACCAGCCAGACCAGCTGGAAACCAGTCCCAGCCACCAGACTACATCAGCATCTCTGGGTAGTTTGGGGAAGATCATCCTTTGATGAGGCACATTCGGGAGCCACCTTTCTGCTCTCTGCCCCATGCCTGCCTGGGTATTTGCGGGTCTCCTCTGTGCTCCCGGATGTGGGCAGCACCCCAAGGGCTTACTCTGATGCTGTCTGGAGGGTGGCCCTGTCCTGCCTGCACAGCCTCCACCTTCTGCTGCAGGAAAACCTCAGCCAATGGCTACTCTGGGTTAGAAGGAAGCTTGGTTTCATAGAACCACTTTGGTTGGAAAAGATCTTTAAGATCATCGAGTCCAACCATTAACCCTACTCTACCAAGTCCACCTCTAAGCCATATCCCCAGGCACCACATCTACATGGGCTTTAAACACATCAGGGCTGGGGACTCCACCACCTCCCTGGGCAGCCTGGGCCAACGCCTGACAGCCCTTCCAGTGAAAAGGTTCTTCCCAATGTCCAGTCAAAACTTCCTCTGGAGCAGCTGGAGGCCAGTCCCTCGTGTTCTATCACTAGTTACTTGTGAGACACCAGTGCCTGCCTCTCTACCATGTTGTTTCAGGGAATTGTAGAGAGCCAGAAGGCCTCTTGAATAGCCCCAGGTCCCTCAGCCGCTCCTCATAAGACTTTTCCTCTAGGCCTTCGTTGCTCTTCTTTGGACCTGCTCCAGTAACTCCATGTCTTGTATTGAGGTTCCCCAAACCGAACACAGTACTCAAGGTGTGGTTTGCTCATGAGCTGCCTGTCATGGACCTTGGAGCAGGGTAGTTGCCTCCCAGAGGGCGGCCCAGCCTCTGTGCAGGTGGCAGTCTCTTTGTTTCAGCTTTCTCTGTGCCCTGCTTTGTGTGGCTCACTGGCCATGTGGATGCTCAGTCTGGTACGAACTCACTTGGGTGCAGTTTTACTTTCCTGCCTGGCTTGGTGCTGAGGATGTCCTGGATGTCCTCCCCAGCTCATTCCCCATCGCCTGCTCCTCTTTGGCACCCACCTCCTGCCAGCCTTAGTGTGGTATTTTATTGTGTCTTACACCAGATCCTTGTCCTGTAACAGGGATACATCAATGGCTTGAGGGTCTGTCTCTTGGATACAAACCCGTTTTCCCTTTTCCTGCCAGCTCTGGCAAGGGGCCATGCAGCAGTTACTGCATGTGACTCCTCTGCTGCATTCTCCCCTGGTGCTCCCACATCTTCCACTGCCTTTGTGCACCTTCTTATGGGGCATTTTTTTCTGCATTTACTCTTGCATAAATGCTTCTTTCCTCAGACGCTCTTGCGAGAAGAGCTCTTGTCCCTTCCCTGCTCCATTTAATGTTCCCTCTTTGCAAATGAGCTTATTCAGTGGCTCCACATGCATCTGATCACATCACAGTCTGCAGGCAAGCTTGTGTGGGTTTTGTTCATGATCCATCCCGCAGAGGTGCCCCTCAGTGCCCACTACCAAGTGGCACGTGCCTGCTTTGCACCTCTATAGCCTGGGTTACTTACTCCACAACCTTCAGGCTTTGGAGGTGCTCCTTGGTGGAGGTGGTGGCGTGCAGGGCAGGAGGGGAGCTGGAAGGTGTGCAAGCAGGAGTGTGTGATTTGGAGTGATGCAGCTGAAAAAGGAGGAAGAATATATCCGGATATTTTTAGCTGGTGCTTAAGTAAAGGGGAGAAATTGCAGCGCTTGGTGTCTGCCTCCTGGCACTTCTGTGTTTGCTTCTCACCAGAAAGCTCTTGAGGCACGTTCTAAGCTGCAGAAAAGCCTGCTTGGCCTGTGTTAAAATATCCTTTGGAAACAGTTGGAACTTCCTGCCCAAATCAGAAGGCTTTGTGAAAAATATATCTCAAATCCATAGTAAATCGGCTCAAGTACAGGTATGAGTGGGTAAAATTAATTAAACATTATGTTTTCTTTCTAGCTGTTCTGTCTCAATCTTTCTTTGCTGGTTTCAGTCAAGGAACTGAAGGGAAGAGGTTTATCCAAATTTTCAGTCTGCGCCAAGTCTGAGAGCACTATCAGTTGAAGCTAGTGAGATAAACACAAAGTGAACTGCTCACCTGTCCTACTTAAACTGTTTGGTCAAAAATGTCCTGATATAGAAAACTCTTTCTCAAACAAATAATTGTTCCAAAATGAATGGGATTTTTGAAGGAATGAGCATTGCTGGAAAGGGGGAGCTTGCAGGACTGAGCAATAAAGCAGATTTCTTTTTTTCCATCCCAAAAAAATGAAAGGGAAAAAAAATCTGACTGAAATGTATTTATAGTTTAATCATTGTCTTTAAGCTGTGACCTCTGTGCTTAGAGATTTAATTCCCAAGGGCAGGGCTTTGGAAACTTGTTAAAGTCTGAACACAGACGAGCGGAGGGGTTTTGTCATTTTGAACTTTGCCAGGAGGATGATTGAATTTAAACTCCCCCAGGTCCCGGAGGGTGCCCGCAGCAGAGGGTGCCATGCGAGGATGTGCCCGCGGCCTCGCTGACCCGCCCGCCGTGCCCACCACCCACCCCTGCCCCTGCCTGCGCCATGGGAGGATGCTTCGCCAAGCCCAAGCCAGGTGAGTGCCCGCCAGCCATGCCCCCACCCTGCCACCCCCGTGGGGAGAAGTAGGTCAGCGGTGGTGGCCGCTGCCCAGGGGAATGTTAATTCTGGCTCCCGCAGGGAGGATTACTGGCCGTTAATCCCCCCAAATTCCTCTGTGCTCTCGCTCCCAGGCAGGGAGCTGGGCAGGGGCACGGCTGTGCTGGGGTGCTGGGGGTGGTGGGTGGGCAGGAGGGCACCTCAGCCTGCACTGTGCAGCCCCATCTATACCCTACCTGCCTGCCCTTCCCTGTCCCGTCTCCTCCTGCCCCCACCACCCTCCCTGCTTCTGGCTTCCCGCAGCACCTGGCGACAGAGCTGCCACCATCGTGCCCCCGGGTGGGTTTGTGTGACAGCCAACCCCATCCCTGTCCCCAGCACCTTCCTTGCTGCCACTGCTTTGCCACTCACTGGCCAGCCCTTAATCTTGTCCCCGCTGGAAGGGAATGAGCAGGGAAGGAGCAGGAGCACCTACTGCTTGGTTTCTTGGTGCTTTCCCAGTCCCACCACCCAGGCCAGGTCCTGGAGCTGCTCAACTCTGGGTATTAGTTTCTTGGTGAAGCTTGTCCATGCTTGCTGCCTCTGATGGGGAAGGCAGCTGTAGGCACCTGGGCATGAAGGATGTTCCTTTGCCCTGCACGCTGCCACCACGGCTGGGCTGGATGTGCCCCCTGCTCTGTGTGGTTTGGCGGAGGAGGGCACGTGTAGCACAGGGCAGGCTGTGTAGGCAGACCATCCTCATTATGGAGCTCTGGTGTGGCAGTGTCATCGTCAAGCCTTGTCTTGAGCTCTGGTGGGCAGTGTGGGTGTGAGCAGGCCCTGCGTGGTCACCCAGGCTCACCATACCGAGCAGCACCCACGTTGCCCTGGTGCTGGTGCCCAGGGACCGATGCTGGCACACATTGGGCTGGTGCAGCCAGTGCTGCTGCAGCTCCCGTCCCCCAGCTTGTTTTGGCCACCTTGGAGGGAGCTGAAGGATGACCCTGTCCCCATCACCTGCTTGTGATCTGAGATAGTCACACTGATCTATTGTATCAGTCAGCATCCACATGCAGCCTTTGTGGGTGGAAGAAATGTCTTTTGGGGACTTTTTTTTTGGCAATTTGTCTTTATTGCCTCAGGCAGTGAGAATTTCAGGTTGAAGCACTCTGGAAGCTCAGAGGGGCAATACAAGTTGTAAGTTGTGTCTGTGACCCACCAAGCATCCACTGAGTGAGGTCCTCTGCCTTTGCAAGGCACCAGGAGAAAATAAAGGTGTTTTTCTGCCTGCCCTTGGCCCATACTGGGACCCTTTTACACGTTATTGCAGTGCCAAGGTGATGGACACTGGACACTGCAGGCTGCAAGTTTTCTTTTGTGAAACCCCACCGGTTTTCTGTCCTCCCCAGAAATGTTTAAGCATCCAGGAATAAAAGCCTTTGTTTACTAAACTTGCAACGATCTCTGCTGGGAGTTCCACTTTATTTTGTAGACCATCAGCAGGACTGTGCTGAGCCTGGGACTGGTGGAGGACGCAGAGCACTCTGCAGGTGTGTTCCCTGAGCTGCAGGTTTTCGTGGGGAGCTGCATTTGCACAGCAGGGCCAAAGGACTGGAAATGCCATCCTGCAATGCCATGTCCTCTCTGCACCCCTGGTTTTGATTAGCAGTCTTCAAAGGCTTTTGACAAGTCTTTCCACAGCCCCTGGTCATTCTGAAACCTTCAGGTGCAGGGAGGTCAACAGAGGCGTTGGCAGATCCTTATTGTTCTGGCAAAGAGGTTTCACAGCCTTTAAATGATATTGGCCATTCCTGTTTCTTGCAGGAACTGTGCACCCTAAGAGCTCAGGAGTGGACTTTCCTCTTTCTAAAAATCCACCTGTCTCCTGTGTGAATGAGAAGCAGGGGCAGGATGGAGCCCTTTTCTCCAACAGTGCTGTTTTGACACGAAGGGACTATTTCAGATGCAGCCTGAAGTCAACAGAATTTATTTAGACGCTTTTGAAAGATGCATGTGAGGTCCTGATCTGCTCCATCTTACATGTGAGAGAGCCCCTTGGTCCCCTTGAGCATTTCTCAGATAACCTTGACATTGCACACACATTGCCCTGTACCAGGAGGACCTTTTGGGAAGCAGATCAAGAGCTGGCTGCTGCTGCAGCGCCCGACCCCACTCCTCTGTGTGGGGGTTTGATGAAGAGATGAAGCTCAAGCAGCGAGGCAATCTCCTGTCCCCTCCAGTGCCACAGCCCGACGGTGCCGGGTCCCCCCCCCAGAGCCCAGCTCTGCAGCTCTGCAGCATCTCTATCTGCGTGTGCGTGGTGCACACATGGAGCTGGCAGCTGGCAGCCAGCATGGCATCCAGCACCCGCTGCGGGGCAGGGTGAGGGGAAGGGACCCAGCGTGTGCCAGCGGCACTGTCCCTGCGCCAGGCACGGCAGGGGGCTTGCAAAGCCCAGAAAGTTGGGGTTGTTTTCCCTTGTGCTCCCTGCTGGGCAGGGCAGCAGCTCCCCCGTGTCTCCAGGTGCTCCCAGAGGGTGTGTTTGGCTCCAAGCAGAGAACGTGACCCCCTAGCAGGGGTGCTGGAGGGGGTGCTGTGTCCTGAGCTCGCCTCCGCGGGTCCCCCCAGGCTTGGCTGGCAAGTGCTGCCTCCTGGTTTTTGGGAGCTGAGCAGGGTAGAGCTGGACACATCTGAAGAGATGGTTTTGTCATTAGCCCTGTCCTCTTTAATAGAAATTTTTCAGTCTCTCTGAGACTGCCCAAAGTAGCTGTTCTCGAGGCTGGCAGTTCAGAGGCAGCGTGGGCGAGGCTGGGGGATGCCTGGAGAGCACAGCTCTGGCAGGGCAGAGCGAGACCCCAAACATGCCCTGGGGTGGGGGGTTTACTCTGTGCTGGATGAGGGAAAATAAACCCTGCTGGGGTAAACTGGGCTTTCTGGCTGTGCCCACAGAACCCTGCTGGTCCTGCCATCACCACCACCCTTGGTGCTTTTCTGTTGTTCTCTTTGGACTCTGCCTGCAGCCCCACAGCAGCAAACCCTGAGGCATGGCATCGTGCCTTCATCCCCTGTGGCCAGGCACCTCCATGTTACCCACACTCCCCCAGATTCAAGGCAACTCTTGCCTCATGTCAATTCTCTCTCCCCTGCACTGCTGTAGTCACTGAGTGTTTTCCTTGTTATTTACTTGTTATTTCCATTATACTTTAAACAGCCTGAGACCCCTAGTTCAAATTTAGCCTCTAGAAGGGCGCTGAGACATACTGGGACCCTAATCCTGTGGTAAAGAATTCTTGGTTCATTTAATTGCCCTAATTTTTACAAAAACAGACCGTGTCCCTCTGCCACAGCCCTGCCTAGAGGCAAAGCCAACATCGCCAGCTTCATGGCTCAGGTACCTGCCTAAAAGCAGGCAGAGGCTGCCCACAAGGCTGTGACTAGTGATGGGAGGGAATAAATTCATGGGAGGTGTAATGGGATATGACTGACTGACTGCCAGGTGTTAACAACGTGAGGTGAAGCACAAAAACACCATGGTCACAGTGTGAAACAAAAAAACCCTGAAGCCAAGCAGGATAAATTGAGCCTGGCTGTGGTTCCTGGGTCTGCGTGAAGCGGTCCTGGCAGTGCTCTGACCTAAAGGCTGAAAACCTGGGAGAAAAAAAACCAAACAACTGGGTCAAAATTTATAGTCTTGACAAGAGTCTGTATTTTAAGCAGTTCTCTGATTTTGGTGAGCTGACTCAGGGTTTTTGACTAGCAAGAGCTGGCAGTGCTGGGGTGGATGTGGATGTGTGGTGTTAGCACCTGCTAGTGCTCAGCTGCTTCAGCTGCTTTTTTGGGCATTTTTATGAAATACTTCCAGCCCCAGCCTCCAGGCCCTTCATATATATATGTGTGTGTGTGTGTTTATACATAGATAAAAAATACAAATACTTTTAAAAAGTACATGAGTTAACAAAACCACATGCATACACACATCATATGTATAAGTGATGCTGGTGGCACAGGGCAAGCAGGCACAGCTACCTATATCCATATCTACAGATCTTCTGTCTCCATATATGGTGGGGGTTGGGCTCTTCTCCCAAGGAACCAGCAATAGGATGAGAGGGAATGGCCTTAAGTTGCCCCAGGGGAGATTTTGGCTGGGCATTAGGAAGGATTTCTTCCCTGGCAGAGTGGTGAGGCCTTGGCCCAGACTGCCCAGGGAGGTGCTGGAGTCCCCAGCCCTGGAGGGGTTCCACAAACGGGTGGATGTGGCATTTGGGGACATGGTTTAGTGGTCATGATGGCTGGACTTGATGATCTTGGAGGTCTTGTCCAACCTTAATGATTGTCTGATCTCTAGATGGATGCTTGGAGGGAGCAGCTGCCCTGCCCTGGAAGCCACAGCTATCACCCTTGTCCCCACCAGCCAGGGCTGGGGTGGTGCTGCCGTGTGACAGTGGTGGCCGTGGCTGGTCCCTGAGGAGCTGGCCACCACACAGATCTGTAGCCACCTGCCTGAAACTTCCCAAGCTTTGCTTTACGGTCAGGAAGCTCTTCTAGCAGCTGTAGAAAATGCCTGTCAGAGGGAGGGAGTGTGCTGGGCCCAGCCACCCCGTGCCGATCGGATTGCAGAATTAAACCTGGGTTTATAAATATTGCATTTAAATGTCATTTTCCCTGCTGGCAATTGAAGCAGTTTGCTGGATCAGCTCGGGTGCCACTGAGTCCTGGATTCCTGGAGGGATCATCCCATGGGAATGCAGATCTCTGGCCAGAGGAACACCCCCTATGGGGCCAGGGGGGCCAGGGAGGAGGAGGGTGGTGGTTAAAGGGTCAGGGTGGGGTGTGTGGGAACTGTCCCCCCATGGAGGTGAGTGGTGAAGTGTGGGGCCCAAAACAGGAGGGGGGAAGACTTTATACCTCTTTGTCTTTTCCTCTGGACCTTTGTCCAGCAGTGTCAGTGAGTGCTGAGTGGGGATGGCTGGGAATGCTGTCCCATACTGGTTCCAGAGACCTGCTGCTTGGGGCACATGTTTTTCTGCCTGAGGAAGAAGTGAAGAGCTCAGAGCTAAATTTCCATCTTCACCCCCGCAGGTTTGTATGCCTGGGGATCAGTGAGAGCTCCAGGTGCTCACCTGACCCAAAGGTAGTCTGGTCTGGATTTGGAGCTCTGGGGCATCGGGCTGGGGGCTGTTCCCTGCAGGTTCCCTCCTTTCTTTGACCAGAACTCTTTCCAAAAAAAGGTGTGAGTGGCTGTTCATTGATTTCCCAACTGACCTGGAAAATCCCTGCCTGCTTTTCCAAACGCTGTGGGAAGAGGGGCCTTGTGGGAAGTGGGCTCTTTGCGGGGTGCCTGCAGGGAGCTGGGCTGCTTCAGAAGAGCTCCAGGAACAAATCTGCGTGTAGCAACACAGCATGGTGCTGGGCCTGTTGGTTTGCAGTGACTCCTACAGCTGGCAGCTGCAATACTGCACCAGGAGTTCACGTTTTCTGTTGGTTCAGTGTGGGTACACAGAAAATTGCTTTCTTGGGTCTGTCTGTCAGACCCCCCAGTAAATTCTGCCCCTGGTGAGTGCAAGGGTTTAGCACTTTGGAGAGGAGCTGCCCCAGCCCCTGCCCTGTGGAGCTGGCATGGAGAGCAGGAGTGGCCATGGCCACCTGCTTTCCTCCCTTCCTAAACCAGTGACCTTCCCTCTGAGCTCTTCTTCCATCATCCTCTCAAGGGACTTGAAATAGATGATGTGGGGCAACAGATGAAGCTGGGAGAAGCCGGTGCCCATCTCTTGCTGCAGGGCAAGTCCCTCTAGCGTCCCTCTCTTCTGGGGCACGTCGCTCTCTCTTTGCCTTTTCCTATCCTGATTAGGTCACGAGCTTTGATTTGTCTCTTCTATGCAGCTTTTCCTGTTCCTGAAGTTTCCAAGATGGAGAAAGCTCAGCAACCTCTCATTTGCTTGAGACACTTCTTCAGTCCCTGGCGTTTACCCCCTGGATGGCTATAGAGCTCTGCTGGGGTTATCAATATGAATGGCTTTGGGTTTATTCAATCCCTGGGAGGTTCATGAAGGCAGTGGGTGGGGGGGATGGTGACCTGGCTGGGCTGGGTTGGGCCGTGCCAGGAGCTGCCCTGTGACAGCACCCAGGGTGGTGGTGGGGCCAAGGGGACCCCGTGTCCTCTCTGATGGTCAAGGACACGCACAAGTGCTGTGTGGTGGCACAAGAAGCTCCCACACATCCCTGGGCCCCCTGGACCCCAGGCCAGGGATGCTTTTATTGTCAAACCCGCTCGATGGTGGACACCTAAGTCAAAAGGACAACCCTTGCTTCTCTCATTTACTGCTGAAAGTTCACTCTCTGCTGAAAACCTCATGCAGAGATAATTTTGGATATTTCTAACACCTTATTAACTGGCCTCTGTCTAACGAAGCAGCTTTGTACACCACGCAGTGTTGGCTTTCTCTTTCAGTTAATGTTATCTACAAAAAATGGAAGGTTTTTTTTGAAGTCTCTCTGAGCCCTCGTGGCCTTGGCAAACCTCACATTTAGCTGCTTGAAGCTGTTTTCCACTGAGCAGGACAGGAACTGTGCCTGAGGGGTTCTTTGGCACTGATGACTCATGTATTTATGCACGCAAAGGTGGAAGAACAGTGGAATAATGGGCTTGGGAAATCAAGCTGAGTTTGATATTAGTTTTAGCTTCCCAAGCAAGTCAATGGAAAATGCCTGTTCTGATGACTGTCAGTCCCCTGCAAAGAAGGAGAGAGAGGCAGAATGGCTGCAGAACCTCCGGCTTCATTTCAGTGAAGATCTCTGTCTATCCCTGCAGTTGAAGTGAAAATTGAAGTTGTGATCCCTGAGAAGGAGAGGAGCAAGGAGGAGATGTCACCCAACGGGAGAGCCAGCCCCCTCATCTACAAAGTCAACGGGACCGCCCGGCACTATCACCTGGAGGAGCATCCCATTGCCAGCAACCCCTACCACAACCCCAAGGACGTGGTGGAGGCGTCTGTGTGCCACGTGAAGGACCTGGAGAACGGACAGTAAGTGCCTCAAATTGTTGCAGGTGTAACTTGAGAGACTTTATAACCCAAACGGAACCCCACACCTTGTTCTTTAGAGTTTCTGGAGATGATCACTTGACTTAGTAAAGTAACATTTTCTTTTAAATCTTAAAAAAAATGACATCATGGACACGTGACAACTGTTTTTTACCAGCAGGTCTGGTGTTCTCTGCACCTTCTGCCCTGGGACTTGTGTTAGAAAGAGGGGATGTTCTGCAGCAGTGTTTCTCAACAGGCTCTGCTGAGCTTGCACTAGACAACCCTGACCATTTTCTCTCAGTTTATAGCCCAGGTAGTTGTACAAAGTAGACAGAGCAGGGTGGAGCAGATCATGTGGGCTCTGTTCTTCTGTGACAGAAAACAGTGTGAAATAGCCTTTATCCCACTGCAGGAGTGATGTCAGGTGTGTAGGACAAAGCAGGAGTCTGCAGCTCTTTGCTTTAAATTGAACTGTTGCTTGTGATAATCTTGTAGAATGATCCATGTGATCCAAGCTACTTCATGCTAAATTAAGGGGCTTAATGGGCTATAAATTAAGTAAGTTCACAGAATCAATAAGGTTGGAAAAGACCTCCAAGATAAGCAAGTCCAACCATCAACCCAACATTGCCATGACCACTAAATTTTGTCCCCAAGTGCCATGTCTACATGTTTTTTGAACCCCTCCAGGGCTGGGGACTCCAGCACCTCCCTGGGCAGCCTGGGCCAAGGCCTCACCACTCTGCCAGGAGAGAAATTCTGCCCAAGATCCAACTGAAACCTCCCCTGGGGCAACCCCTGGAGCGTTGCCTGGGGTTGTTGTGACCCAAGGGCAGGACCTGCCACTTGGCCTTGTTGAATCTCATACAGCTGATCTTGGCCAGGAATTAATCCAGGCATAAACTGATTTTTTCATTGTGATGGGAATTTATGTATCAGCCCATTCTGCAAAGGGATGCACTGGACTCTGTTGAGTTAAATCTTCATGTGATGATGTGTGGCTGACTCTGCAAGTTCTGCTGCAGCTCAGAGAAGTGCTGGAGAACCACCAAGACCTGGAGGCCAATGGCCTCCTCCATGAAAGATAGGAGTGAGGGGCCAGTAGACTGGACTGGAAGGCAAGCACAGGGCTGCTTTTGGGAGGTGATGGGCAAGCCACTGCCTCCCATGCATGGAAGCAGTGAAAGCAAGGCCATGGAAAAGGGGACCTGGGGCAGAGCACGGGCAGCAACCAGCATTGCATTGAGGCTGGGGCAAAGCAAAGAGCAGACACCCTCCTGGGGAACACTGGTTGCAGAGAGAGGGTCCTGTTTCAGTGTTGAGACACAGCCTAAGGGCTGGACCCTAAGTGCTGATGGAGGCAGCTTCTGCTCGTTTCACATTTGGGGTGATGTGAAGAGTGTGCTCTGCTTTAATGCCCCTGTGCAAGAAGGACATTAGACAATCAGGGCTGCAGTAGACAGGCTGGAAAGAAGCAGTGTAAGAGATGGAAAGATTCCAAGATCTCTGCTGGTTGTGGGGAAGGTGAGGAGGGGGCTGGACACAGTCTGTGAGAACACTGCTGGCTGCAGGTGGCTGTAGTGTGGAGCTCCTCAGCTAGAGCCAGGACTAGAGACTGGCATCGTCCTGGAACCTGGTCTCACACTTCAGCCACAGGTCCATTCAGCTGCTGAAAGCCACCACCAAGCTCAGCAGTGCACGGGCCATCGCTGGACATTTTGAGTTGAGAACGAATGTTTTCCTAGCAGGCTGATTCTAGCTCAAAATGCAGGTGTTGCAAGAAGGTCCCATGGCTCTTGTAAGCAATGGGCCAGACCAGAGGTATCCCTTCTTGCTCTGAGACCCAGAGGGATTTTCTGGGTTGCTTCTCTTGAGGATTGTGCTGGGCAGGGCTGTGCATGGACACAGCAGTGGCACGGGGCACTGGCATGAGGGCTCGGGCACCTCTGCGTTGTGTTAGTGGAGTCTGCAAGCACAAAGAACTCCTGCCCACCCTTTCTGTCTTCCTGGTATCAAGGTGGTGTCAGCAGAACCAAACACACCGGAGGATAAACTCTGGCAGTGCTGTAGCCTCCCAGCAGGGTCTGGGGGAGGCCAATGAGCTGCAGAGAGAAAACAGTCCCCAGTGCTCCCCCACCTCCTGAGCAAAGGTCCTCTGCAGGCTAGAGCTGAGTTTTAGCCAGTGCTTCCCAAGTGGGGAGTGGAGTGGGGCAACAGGACAAACTCCCCACTGAATAAACAGCTGAGGGGAGCAGTGCTGTGTAAATCACCCTCTGGCTTGCTCTGCAACGGCCCCGGCAGCCTTGCAGGTGGCTGGGAGCTGCCTCGAAGACACCAGAGCTTGGTTTAGGGTCTTAGAGTTCCTTGGGTAAGTTGTAAACTTTTTCACTTATCTTATCTTATCTTGGGACAGAGTTATGGCTGTCATTTAACACCAGGTTTTATCTGAGGTGCTGCACAGCTGAGGAATGCAGCAGGACTTGTGCTGCTCCATCCCCCTTGTGCTGACAAGGGCCCCCAAGTGCCCCGTGCAGGGTGGGGGCAGAGCTGCATCCCTGGGGACTGGGGCTGCCAAGGTGCTGGGATGAAACGGCTCCCAAGGGATCTGGGTGAGCAGAATGAGCCGAGCTGGGGTGGGAGGAAATGGAGCATTTGCCATTGATCTAGTGGGACAGTTGATGGCAGCAGAGCAGACACCCACACGAAGACTTGCCCAAGGTGGGTTTGAAGGTGTTACAGGGGTGCTGGTGACCCGAGACCTGGCCTCATCTGCATGGCTGTGAAGCAGAGAATGGGAGGAGCCTCTCTGTGGCCTGGGTGCCAGTGGCAGGGTAGAACTGGGATGTTACCCCAGGAGGAAGGTGCATGCAAAGGGAGTCCCAGCCTCCTGAGCCCCTGGGACCTATGGTGCATGAGCAGCATTGCTGTGTGCACAGTGGTGCATTGGGCAGACCACATGCAACGTGCTAGGCTCGGGGTGTGGATGGTCCACTCCTGCAGTGGGAACAACTGGGATTTCCAGGGAAACGTGAAGTTGTGTGGGGACAGACTTTCTGGATGGAGGAGGGGAAGCTTCCAGGGAACAGCAGCTCTGTGTCCAAAATGAGGGCTCACTGCTGGTCTCTGTGTGTTCCTCCATGGCCAGCAGATATTTTTTTTTCCTGAAAAAGACACTGACCCAGGCTGCCCAGGGAAGTGGTGAAATCACCATCCCTGGAGAGGGTCAAAAAACCAGCAAGCTGCAGGAGGCAAGGAGCAGGGCTGGGGTGGAGGCTGAGGACCTGTGTTTGGATGCTCTGCCATGTGTGTTCTGTGCTTCTCCTCCCCAGGATGCGGGAGGTGGACCTGGGCTGTGGGAAGGCTCTGCTCATCAAGGAGGGGGGTGAGTTCCACGCCGTGGGACACAAGTGTCCCCACTATGGGGCTCCGCTGGTCAAAGGTCAGTCTGCATCACCTCCTAGGACACTAACCAAAGGCATGAAAGTGTTGGCAAAAGACAGGCTGGTGTTCATCCAGCTGTGCCCCAGGCATGGGGCCATCACCTTGGCATCTTCTCACGGGGGCAAGGCGTGGGCAGAGAGCTGGGGATGCACAGACCTCCTGAGAGCACTTCAACACATCTCTTGCTGGTGACCCCAGTTTGCCACCGCTGCTCCCTGGGCTGGGGCTTCTTTGGGTGACTTTGAAGACCAAAATGACCTGGACACCATTAAATTTGGCTCCTCCTCCATTATTCAGCTGGAGCTGAACCTCTCTTGGGTGGTGTGAAGGAGCTGTAGCTCGCTTTCCCCACGCAGAGCCTGGTTTGGTGGGGCTTTCCATATCTGTTTATTGGTTCCCAGCCACTGTGGAATTTAAGAAAAAATGTCTCAAAGGGAAGAAAAAAATCACCTTATGATTTTTCAGGCCACTGAGACTTAAAAAAAACCCCAACACCAGAGCTCCCTGCTGATGAAAATCCTCTTTGTGGGGAAGGAGGAATCTCTTTGGGCTGATGGGATTCTTTCAGCAGCAAAAAGAAACGTTGCTGGTGTTACTGGTTGAAGTGGGATGAGCTGTGGTGGTTTCCAGCCTTGGGGCAGGAGGCAGCTGCAGGGCAGCACCACCTCTGCTCTGCCCTGTGTCCTGCAGGGGTTCTGTCCAGAGGGAGAGTCCGCTGCCCCTGGCACGGGGCGTGCTTCAGCATCAGCACAGGTGACATCGAGGACTTCCCTGGCTTGGACAGCTTGCCCAGGTTCCAGGTGAGACCTTTGTTCTTGCAGCAGCAGAGGAAATTACAGGAGGGTTTGGGTTGGAAGGGACCTTTAAAGATCACCTAGTCCAACTCCCCTGCTATGAGCAGGGTCAAAGATTTCCAGGCATGGGGAAACCACAACTTCTGTGGGCAACGTGGGCCAGGGGCTCATCACCCTCACCATAAAACATTCCTTCCTTGTGTTCAACCTAAGTTTACCCACTTTTAATTTAAAGCCCTTGCCCCTTGCCCTGTTGCTACAGGCTCTGGGAAAACGTCTTTCTCCATCTTTCCTGTAGCCCTTCTTTAAGCCCTGGCAGCCCCCAGCAGGTCTCCCCAGCTGGAGCCTTCTCCTCTGTGGCTGCCCCAGCCCAACTCTCTCCTGCTGGGCTCCCAGCAGAGGGGTTCCCCCCTCGGGGCATTGCTGGGGCTCCTCTGGCCCCACTCCAGCAGGTCCCTGGCTCTGCTGTGCTGAGGACTCCAGAGCTGCCCCAGCACTGCAGGGGTGTCTCCTCAGAGCTGGCAGAGGGGCAGGATCCCCTCCCTGCCCTGCTGCCCACGCTGCTGGGGGGGGCAGCCCAGGCTGGGGGTGCTCCTGGCCAGCTCCTCACCCCCAGCACCCCCAGGGCCTTCTCCTCGGGCTGCTCTCCAGCCCCTCACCCTCAGCCTGGGCTCATATCGAGGGCTGCCCCGACTCAGGGCAGGACTTGTCCTTGTTGAACTTCATGAGGTTCATATGGAGCCACTCTTCCAGCCTGTCCAAGTCCCTCTGGATGGCATCTCATCCCTCCAGAGCATCAGCTGCACCACTCAGCCTGGTGTCATGAGCTTGGGAGCTCTTGCATCCACCCATGGGCATCAGATACCTCCTGGAACCCTGAGGCTGGAGGTGAACAGTCTGGGGGGACTAGGCAGGAGTGGGGTGGGACTAAGAAATCAGCCATAAGCCTGAGATAGAAATTGGGTTTTACACGGACCACTGGTGCAGGGTTGTATGGAACCAAAGACATCCCACAGGGGGAGCTGGGGCGAGCCCTGCCATGGCCTGGGCCACTCTGGCAGAAAACCTGCTGAGATCTCTGTCTTAGCTGTTGCACAGAGGGAGTCACCCCTCACTGTGCTGACAACCACTGCTGTCTGTCCCTCAGGTGAAGATTGAGAAGGAGAAGGTGTACATCCGAGCGAGCAAGCAGGTGAGGGGTCACTGCATCCCAAAATCAAGGTCCATGCTTTTGCTTTTTTCTCTGTGTGAGAGTGGGAGGGAAATGGTTTTCTTTGGGCTCTCTGGCAGGGGAAGCAGCTCCTGCACAGAAGGTTGCGAGAGCACCCAACATAGGTGAAGCAAAGGTCCTGCCTCAAACAACAGCCCAAAGTTTGTGTGGAGGCCTGACTGGAGCGGGGCAGAGGTGTTACCTCACCCTCCATCCTGCCTGTACTCCCCCAGCCTTCCTGCAGTCGCTGGACACCCGAGCTGGGGTGTCCATGGATTCAAGAGACCTTACTAGATGTTTTTCCTGAACATGTCCTATGTCTCCTTAAGGTCATAATAACTTTTAATTTAGCTGGCCCATAGAACCAGCTCTCTTCCAGCAGCCTTTTGTCCTTGTCTGCTGGGTCTGAATGTAGCGTGGTGATGACAGAGGTCATCTGTGCTCCCTCTTGAGATCCAGGGTTCCTTATGCTAGAGAGGAACCTGGTGCGTGGGCAGGCAGGACTCTCATCCCCCAGGTAGGACACAGAATGAAGCCCTTTCAGGCAACTGCCATTTTTATTTCCATGTTAAGCCACCTCCTGATGCACATTTCCATGTGGACATGTGAAAACAGGGACTCAGACACAGCCAGGCCTTTACAGCACTTGGGTTAGACCGGAGAGGTCACCTGAATGGCAGCACTTCTACTCCACCCTGGGTGGGATGTGATGAGGAGGGGTGAGCCTGTTCCCTCTACCAGAAATGAATTTGGCCTCCAATGGCTGGCAACAGGGGTTCTGTGCATTCAGCAGAGGTATGCTCTGGTAGGTTGGACAGACCCACCAGCTTCTTTGGACATCAGAGGGTTTCAAGCTCTGCTCAGATTCAGGACAGAGTTCCTGACAGGGCTTCTTCACTTCCATCTCCCCTGTTTGGTGCAGAATTGCACAGTGACACTTCTGGGCTGCTTCTCCTGTTTTTTCCCACATTCCCTGGATGAATTTGCAGAAGATGATGATGGATTTATTTTATATTTGTACCTCGTAGGGGGGTAGTGTGCTGGGTGGTGGAAAGGCATTTGGGAGAGCGTGGATTTGGAGGCCTTGCTGGCTACAAGGACGCAGTTGTCCCCTTTCTATCCAAGCTGGTTTATGCCATTAGTGTTGTTGTCCCCATTCCTGGCCACCCTGGTTAGACCTGAGAAAAGATAATGACTTTTCTTCTTGGTTTTGGTGGCACAGGCTCTTCAGACACAGAGGAGGACAAAGATGATGGCAAAGTGCATCTCCTTGAGCAACTATAACCTGAGCAATACCAACGTGCTGATCATCGGTGCAGGTATGGGGTGGGATGTGCTGGGCAGGTGTGTGGAGAGCAGGGGGGGGTTGTGCCTTGCACCTTCTGTCACTCCTCCTGCCTCCCTCCCTGTGCAAAGGGGCAGGCCAGAGGGTTGTCCTGAGCTTTTCTGTCCTACACACTGATTGTCCAGAGATGCCCTGTGCCTCTGGTTTGTGGAGCTTTGTAGTTCCCTGTCTCAGTCCTTTGTAGCAGATGCCCAGAACCCTCCCCAAATACATCAGCAACCCCTGATTTCCACAACTGGTAAGCGTAAAGTCCTCTCAGGTGATCCTGTGATGTGGATACACCTTTTTCTCTTGGAGCCTGCACATCTCTGTCTCATCCCATTGCAGCTCCAAAGCTCCCACCTCAAGGTTCTTCTCTGAAAATCAGTTCTTCCAGTCTTCACAGAAAATTCCAAGTCCCTGCATGAAACAGTGAAAGTGCCAAGCTATCCTTTCTAACCTCCCAGCTCTGTTTGTGTAACACAATTTTTGTAGCAAGGCTGATGGAGTGAGTCCCACCCACCACGTCTGCCTGCTTCTGGAGTGGGTTGGGTGCTAGGCTGGCCCACGTCAGGGTGAAGCAGAGGGTGGGAGGGAGACACAGGCTGGGCCTGGGGCTGGGTGGGAATGGCTGCTCTCAGCATATAGGCTGTTCCCACTTGAATATAGCCCCCAGGTCAGCAGATCCAAGCTGGGGAAATGGGGAGCACACTGTGACCTAAGCTGCAGAAGCTGGGGTTGTGAGGAAGAAATGCTGGGAAAGGACTACCCATCACCCCTGCACTGGGGACCACCCAGCCATGCCCAGCAGGCCACAGCCCCTTGCCCGTGTGAGGGTCGTCCTGGCACCAGTGCAGTGCCAGCCCCAGCTCAGCATGCCCGGGAAGGCTGCTCACATGTCCCTTCTCCCACTGCCACCAACACCATCGACAGGAGCAGGTTGTCAGGTCCAGCTTTAGTGTTAGAGATACTGTGGCCCTTAGAGGACTCGTCACTGAGTGAGGCTTCCTTGGCTGAGAAGAGACTCAGCACTTCTCACCTGAGCTCTCCAATCTCACTCGTTTGGCCAGGGAAGAAGGGACATGCCCCTCAGGCTGCCTGGCTGCAGGAGGACAGCGTGCCCCATGTCAGCTTTTTGTTTATTTTGGCTTTTTTTGGTGTTTGTAAACAAGCAAACAAAAAAGCCTCCAAGAAATCTCATGCCAAATGCTCTGCAGTGAAGGGCACAGCCGAGGCTCGAGCTGTGAAGAAGGGAGGACTCCCTGCCCTCCGTGTTGGGCCATATGCCCACCAGGAGCTGAGTGCATGGTGGGGAAGCTGCAAGAGCCTTACCCGACCAGGGGAGTGCAAGGGCTGGAGTGCCCACCCGTGCCCTGGACCTCCTGTGAGCTCTGGAGGTGTTGGCAGCACTCAGGTGTGCTCTTCCTGGGCTCGTGGTAGCTGAGGGACAGATGAGTCCTACAGAAGATTAAAGTCATGCTCCCCAAACAGAGGGTCTCTCCTCCTGCCCGACCAGCACCCCTGCAAGCTTCTTGCCTTGGGAAGGGCCACGAAGTCAGGCCAGGGCTAGCGGAGACGGTGCTTTAGGAGTCAGCCCTGGTGGGGTTTAGGAGCAAGGGGTCCAGACCTTTCAGTGCCCACACACGCCTGGCTCTTCGCTCTCTGCAGGGGCAGCTGGACTGGTCTGTGCAGAGACCCTGCGCCAGGAGGGCTTCTCAGACAGGATTGTCATGTGCACCATGGACAGACACCTGCCCTACGACAGGCCCAAGCTCAGTAAGGTTTGTATCATGCCACAGCCCCACCCCGACTTTTAAAATTTGCCCTGAGACTTTTCCCCACTGAGCAGAATGTTTCTGCTTCTTTATTTGTTCTGTCTTGGATTTCCCTTGAATTTTCTCTTCTGTTGGTGGCTGAAATGTGAAACACAAAGGAGGAATTGTTCAGACTCTGAACTAGGAGCACAGAAACAAGGCTGTTCTTCATGGGTTGAGCAAGAGCTGCCCTGACCAGCTTGTACCTGGCTGGATCTTCTTATGTTTCTGGATCAAAACCTTCAGGGCATACGAAAAATTGTATTGTCTGCTGGGTTTTTTTGGTGTGTGGCTCATACTGCACAGGATGCTCCAGACCATGATGAGTATGATTGTCAGTCACCATCACGACTTGGTAACTTGATTGCAGAGATCACTTTTTCTGGCACACGTTTCCATTTTGTAGGCACAGGCTGATCTTCTGATCACACTTTTTTTATCACTGACTCCTGAGCCTGACTTGATATCAGTCAGCAGCTCAGGCTGGACAGCAGCGTTTGAGCTTGAAGCTTGGAGATAATGTAAGAGCAGGAGGCACAAGTATTCCCCTTTATGTCAGGGGTGCTTAAATATGGGGGATGGTGCTCCACAATCACAGCAGCAAACTCTGCTTCCAGCCTCAAGGCAAATGGATTTTTCAAAGGAAGGCCAAAATGTGGCATTTTGAGAGTATTCAAGCCACCTCTGTGCTTGGACAAGACCTGCTTGGGGTGAGAGGCAGCTGGCTGAAACCTGCACCCAGGAGTCACAGAGGTTTTGCTGGGGGGCTTGGAGGAGCCCGGCCAGGCAGCTCACTGGGATGCTTGCCCCTGCCCTGGGAGCCTGACTGCCTTTTCCATTCTCTGCTAAAGAGCAAGAACTTCTCATGGCAGAGATGTCAGACATGTTTTGTCAAACTCCCCACTAAACAGCTCTGGCTGCAGTTGCTTTTGGAAGGTGCACAAAGCCTATGGAGGAGAAGGCAAAATTTTTGGGAACAAGGTAGGAAAAAACAGGGATTTTTCTTAAACCTGTTGCACGTGGGACTAGCCTTGGAAAGTGTCCTTAGAGGGGGAGCACGTGAAGCTGTGAGCAGCAGACTTCTGGCCTCCTGAAACTGCAGCGCTGCCCTCCCTCTGCCTTGCTGGGTGCTTGTTACCAGCCTGTCCAAGGGCCAGCAGGACTGTTCCTCTTTGTCCCCTTTGGACCATGACCTGCTCCCTGGTGTGCACAAGGGGGTGTCCTGCAGGGCACACCCCAGCCCCTGACCAAGCCACCTTCAGGGAGAAGGACCTTGCACAAGGGGGAAGCTCTTGGTTCCTGTGTCCTCTGTCCCTCCTGGGTCAAGGCCAGGCTGTGTCACACCTGCATGGCATGGGTGGATGCTGCTGCTGTGTGCTATGGAGCAGAGCTTGGCCATGGCACAGGTGTGGCCGTGCCCATCCCTGCCCTGCTGCAGGCCCTGGGATGCCCTGGAGCATGGAGCAGCCTGTGTGCAGCTCACTTGGTGCTCACCTTGTCTTCAGGTCGTGTCCACAGAGACCGGACAGATGAAATCCTATGTGAGCTCAACCCTGCATGCAAAGGTGATGTAGGTCTCCCCCAAGAGAACAGGGGAGGGTGGGAAGTGCAAGAACCTTTACCTTGCAGGTATAGATGAGCAGATACAGGCCACATGCCCCCCCCTCAGCTTTCGAGGGAACTTTGTGCTGTGTAACTGGGGTGCTTTTGAAAGTGTTGCCCTTGCTGTGTTGATGCTGATTGTTCTTATTGCTTTTTGAGCTTCCATGTCCCTGGCACCCGGCTGTTTTCCAAATAATGGGGCTTTTCTTTTGCTCCTATGAACCTGTGTATGCTGTGAGGAGCTGCTCCGCAGTGAGAGTTGCTCTGCAGACACTCAGAAATGTGTGTTGTGATCCTGCCTTAGCTTGTCACTGCATCCCCTCCTCCCTGCAGCAGGCAGGGAAGGAACCAGAGCCCAGGCCAGCGTCCTGGGATGACTTCTACTTGGACAGGCTTTGATTCCATCCCCTGTAGAGCAACCCTTAACCCATGCCCTAGGGACCGACTTCAGACCGTGGCTGGCTCATAACAGGCATTTCCCCACTTGCCTGTTCCACCCACAGTGGCTGACAGAATCATAGAATCCTTTAGGTTGGAAGGGACCTTCAAGATCATCAAGTCCAACCAGTGAGCCATTAGGGCTCCAAAGTCCTCTGCTAAAACAGATCAGAATCTGTCAGGGTTGGAAGGGACCACAAGGATCCCCCAGTTCCAACTCCTCTGCCATGAGCAGGGACACCTCCCACTAGATCAGGCTGCCCAGAGCCTCATCCAGCCTGGCCTTCAAGACCCCCAGGGATGGGGCCTCCACCACCTCCCTGGGCAACCCATTCCAGGGTCTCACCACTCTCATGGGGAAGAACTTCTTCCTCACATCCAGCCTGAATCTGCCCACTGCCAGCTTTGCCCCATTCCCCCTAGTCCTGTCGTTACCCGAGAGCCTAAAAAGTCCCTCCCCAGCTTTCTTGTAGGCCCCCCTCAGATACTGGAAGGCCACAATAAGGTCCCCTCGGAGCCTTCTCTTCTCCAGACTGAACAGCCCCAACTCTCTCAGCCTGTCCTCACAGCAGAGCTGCTCCAGCCCTCGGATCATTCTCGTGGCCCTTCTCTGGACACGCTCCAGCAGCTCCACGTCCCTCTTGTAATGGGGGCTCCAGAACTGGATGCAGTGCTCCAGGTGGGGTCTCACCAGAGGAAATGGCTTTTCTTGCAGTCGATGGACTCCCACCCAGAGCAGATCGCCCTGCGCCCCAAGGAGTTCTTCCGCACCCACGACATTGAGCTCCTGACCGAAACCCAGGTGAGGGGGTCCCGTGGGCAGCTCTGGGGTGCCCTCTGTGAGCCCTGGCACGCGAAGGCTGCGCCGGGGGAACAGGGCAGCTCTCGGCTCGATGGGTGCCACCACAGAGAGGTTGGGTCTCCCCCAGGGCCCTGTTTTATGCCACAGGTTGCCTGTGTGTAATGGTTTGAAAGCAAACCAGTGAGAGACTCCAAGTCAGAAATACAATTTAATAGGAAAAAATAAAATAAATGCAATAATACAAAGGAAAACCACAGACAGAGTCAGAATACAAACTGACACTGTAGTTAGGGGGGTGGTAGCAGTTCAGATGGAGCAGTGGTCTCATAGAAAAGATCTGGGAGCTCTTGTCCTCTGGAAATCCAGTGGGTAAGGCCCCCTGTGCTGTCCTGAACCCCAGTTTATATCCAGGTGGGAGCACTTGGCTCCTCCCCCTGGGAGGAGCATCTCACAATGGGTTGATATCAGTCTATGAGTCATGCAGTGGGTCCTTGATGGTCCATTAAACAGAAATAGCTCCTGGGGGGAGCTCTGTATGAGTCATGGGGCGAGGCATGGATGGGCCCATTAACAGGGAGGACTCCTCCTGCTGGGTGGGAAGGTGTTAACATCTCCCCTGACCTTGAACCTCTTTCCTTATCTGTTATAGTCTGGGGTGTGAGGTCTGTCCTGGGCAGCTGCTACCCATGATTTTGTTAACAGCTCATGAGCAGTGACATAGAGGGTATAGAATACACAGTTTTTGGTTCTACCCACATAAGGATAAACTGCTCCCAGCCCCTGTAACCATGACACTGTGGTTGTTCAAAACCTGTGAAAGCAATTCCTTCGTGGCAGAGAGGACGCCCTGTGCCCACACTGTGGTGACCATCATTTCTGACTTGCCACTTGTGACCATCCTCACCCGGATCTGGGGCGGCTGACTGGCCTCTGGTGAGCACAGCCAGCCTGCAAGGAGGGCAGACAGTGATGGGCTAAACATTTCTCCCCATTTTTTATTCATACTGGGAGATCTTCATGGATCTGTGAAAAGGCAGCTAGGAATATTTAAGGTCTAGGCTGGTTAAGCTGTGGACAGGAGCAGAGGGGACCAAACCCTACCAGACAAGCTGCTGGGGCTGGGAGCTTGGTGAACTCCTGTGGCTTCAACCCTTAACAGGATTTAGGAATGATTTCAGGTGGCAGCTGTGGATATCAAGAACAAGACAGCCGTGTTCAAGGATGGGTTCAAGATGGAATACAACAAGCTGCTGATAGCGACTGGAAGCACGTAAGCTGCACACAAACATTTTCAAGTTCAAGAGAAGCTGTTTTATCGGAGAGCGTGTGGAGCTTGTGCCTGGGGATGAGGGGACAAATATGGTGCTTGGATTTGGACTCTGAATTTACTTGCAAGAGTGGTTTGCAGAAGAGGTGAGGAACACCTATTGGCGAGGTCTGTATGGATCTGGGTCTATGTATCGCCACATGGATCCATATCATATACATCTCTGTATCTCTATGGGTGCCACAGGATCAGAAAGACCTTGAGGGGCTGGAGTGGGTCCAGAGAAGGGCAACGAAGCTGGGGAGGGGTCTGGGGAACATGATTGTGAGAAGCAGCTGAGGGACCTGGGGGTGTTTAGTCTGGAGAAGAGGAGGCTGAGGGGAGAACTTCTGGCTCTCTGCAACTCCCTGAGAGGAGGCTGGAGTGAGGTGGGGGTTGGGCTCTTCTCCCAAGGAATCAGCAATAGGACAAGGGGCAATGGGCTGAAGTTGCCCCAGGGGAGGTTTCGGTTGGATCTTGGGCAGAATTTCTCTCCTGGCAGAGTGGTGAGGCCTTGGCCCAGGCTGCCCAGGGAGGTGCTGGAGTCCCCAGCCCCGGAGGGATCCAAAACACATGTAGATGTGGCACTTGGGGAGAAGGTTTAGTGGCCATGGCAATGTTGGGTTGACGGTTGGGCTTGATGATCTTGGAGGTCTTTTCCCACCTTAATGGTGCTATGATTCTGTGAATTTGCCAGCAGCACCCTAATGCTGTGCTGCTCCCTGGGGGCTGGCTCAAGAGCGTATGGGAGAGAATCAGGCAACTCCCACTGAGCTCATCATCTTAGACTATTGAAATCAGTGCCCAAGACCTTGCACAAATTTTCAACAGAAGCCTCTGAAATGGAAGTAACTCAGTTTTTTTTTTTAGGGGTCATTTTTACCTCGTTGTTCTTCTTTTCACCCCTTGATGATAGTCAGCCCTGACAATCAGATAACCCACCCATATGAATTTCCTCCTTTCATTTCCTGCCAACCTTTAAGGTCTTTCTTGACAGTGAAAGCTTAATGCTTAGGTTCAAAAGAGGATTAAGCCTTTAGCAATATTTTCAAAATCCTTATGCACAAGCTCCTGGTACACTGGGTAAATGTTTTGATGCTAAATAATTCAGCATCATCTGTCCCATTTCCAGCTGTGAGTCATGTTTGCAGGGGCCAGATATTTAAAAACACCCAGGTTCCAGTCAGGGCACAGGGAGGAGGTGACTACACATCAGCAGCGGGTTCCTAGGAACAGAGGGTGGGACTTGTGTCTGCAGAGGCTTATGGAGCATTCAATATCTGGCTGCAAAGCAGCTGCTGGAGGACACAGCGAGTTCTCTGCATCCTGGTAAGCTTCTGAAGATTCTACAAGATGCCAGCAGTAAAAGAAGCTTGCAAAGCAGTGCCCATCCTGCATTGCACTGCCCCAGCCCTGGCTACGCCAGCCCAAGGGTGGGGCTACCCAGCAGCCTCACTGGGCTAGCGTTTGTGCTTCATGCTCTGGCCCTTGTCCACCAGCACTGGGGGTTTTCTGTGCTGTGTCTCCAGTCCGGACAAAGGTAGCAAAACAGGAAGGCTGTGCTGCTGCTGGAGCCCCAGCAGTGGCTCTGCAGTCCCCACTGCCCCCAGGGCGTCGAGGAGAGCACCCATATCACCCTCAGCGTGTGCTTTTCAGACCCAAGGCTCTCAGCTGCAAAGGCAAGGAGGTGGAAAACGTTTTCAACATCCGGACGCCCGAAGATGCCAACCGGGTGGTGAAGCTGGCCACGAGCAAGAACGTGGTCATCGTGGGGGCATCCTTCCTGGGTGAGCAGCCGCCTGCCTCTCGGCTCCACATCCTCCTGCAGACGGCCCCAGAGCCTCCCCCAGTCTGTCACTGCCCAGTTAGAGGTAACCCCCCCAGCAAACAGGAGCTCGGGGCAGCCCAGCCTCCAGTTCCAGCTGGCTGTCCTGTGTAAGGACCTCTCTGTGCTGAGGAACTGGATCTCACTGGGGAGGCTGAGCCACTCGGCTTGTGTGGACACAGACAGCGCTGTCCCAGCTTGAAAACCACCTGGCAAGTCCAGTACTGGTGCATGGGAGGTTTCAAATCCAGTGTGCCTAGATCTGGCTTCAGTTGGGAGGGTCCAGCTGGCTGGGGAAAGCCTGTGGGTTCATTCCTCTTTTACTTTCTAGCAGAGTGAATTTTTAAGATATGCAGGAAAAATAGTTTCTTTGATGGTTCTTCTTTTTGCTTGATATAGTTCTAACAAAATTGTTGTGGGTCCTGCAAAGCCTTAAGCATAAATGGTTATTTAGTCAGGGATTTAGTATAAAATGTTAGGTATTTGTTTATCTTCTTTAGAAAGAAAAAATCCTGTTTAGTGATGCAATCAACCCCATCCTCAGAAAAGCATGTGGTGGTGGGAGGGACAAATTCCAAACTGCAAGGCATTGAAAAGATCCATTTCCAAAAACAAAGACCCATACCTAGAAAATGTCTTGGTGAAGGTCCCATGCAACTGTCAGCACCAAAATTCTCCCGTTCTGGTTGGAGAAAACAGCTGGTCACAAGGGCTGTTTCCAGCCCACAGCTCAGGATCTCTGCTGAGAAAAAGGAAGAGGAAGATAAGAAGGAGGAAGGTTCCCCCCATCTGAGAGCCACTGCTCCAAGTGCTACAGCTTCCCGAGCACTTTGGGACGTCACCATGATTTATCTGTGAAATCTCCATCCATGAGCAAATTGGCACAATTCATAAGTCTCACCTGAAACAGTGTGGTCCCTTGTGCCCACCGGGTCTGGTGGCACCTCGGGTCTCCCAGGAGAGCAGCCTCAAACTCCCTAGCCAGGCGTGGGCGAGGCTGCTCCTCCACTGCAGCACTGGGGGGCTTCCTGTGGCCACTCAGAGCTGCTTCTGCCCCCCAGGGATGGAGGTGGCTGCCTACCTGTCGGAGAGGGCCCACTCGGTGTCCCTGGTGGAGCTGGAGGAAGTGCCCTTCAAGAAGTCCTTTGGGGAGAGGGTTGGCCGCGCTGTGATGAAGGTGACCTCTCTTTCCCACCCGGGGGTGGTTTTGGGGACAGAGTGGGTTCTGCTTCTTCCACTGACTGCACTCATTAATTTGTTGCTCGACATTTATTGATTAAGCTGTGATGGTAGCAGTCGCTGGGCAGGAAGAATGGGCTGTGTCTTCCCTCTCGTGGTCCATGTGCTGTAAAGCACCTTTTTTGGACACGAGGAGGGGACAGAGGTGGAGGTGAGCCCAGAGGGTGGGCAGGGCAGGGGCAGTGCAGGGGATAGAGGGACACCAGGAGCTGGGGTGCTTTGGGGTTCTGATGGCCTCTGTTTTGTCCCTTGTTCCCCCTCCAGATGTTTGAGACCAACAGGGTGAAGTTCTACATGCAGACAGAGGTGTCGGAGCTGCGGGAGCAGGAGGGCAAGGTAGGGTGGGGGCTCCCTGGGGGCACCATGGTGGCACCCCGCTGGGGCTGCCAGTCCCTCCACCGCTGAGGTTTTGCCGTCTCCTCTTTCCTAAACCCTGAAATTCATGTACCTCATTTAGTCCCCAGGGGCAAAGGTGCTCCAGTGCAATGTCTGGGATGGTTTCTTTGTTCCCACCGTTCTCCTGCTGCTGTTATAAGGAGTTACAGTCAACCTGCATGTGTAGAAATGAATCATAGGATCATGGATCACTTTGGTTGAAAAAGACCTTTAAGATCATTGAGTCCAACCATTAACCCTACTCTACCAAGTCCACCTCTAAGCCATATCCCCAGGCACCACATCTACACGGCTTCAAAACACACCACGGCTGGGGACTCCACCACCTCCCTGGGCAGCCTGGGCCAATTCCTGACAACCCTTCCAGTGAAAAGGTTCTTCCCAATGTCCAGTCAAAACTTCCTCTGGAGCAGCTGGAGGCCAGTCCCTCGTGTTCTGTCACTAGTTACTTGTGAGACACCAGTGCCTGCCTCTCTACAACGTCGTTTCAGGGAGTTGTAAAGAGTGATAAGGTCCCTCCTCAGCCTCCTCTTCTCCAGACTAAACACCCCCAGCTCCCTCAGCCGCTCCTCATAAGACTTGTTCCCCAGGCCCTTCACCAGCTCCGTTGCTCTTCCTTGGACCTGTGGAGAGCGCTGCCAGCTTGCCTCCTACTGCCCCAGGGCTTCTGTCCCCCTAAAATAACGGTGGTCCCCCCCGTGTCCCCGCAGCTGAAGGAGGTGGTGCTGAAGAGTGGGAAGGTTCTGCGTGCCGACGTCTGTGTCCTGGGCGTGGGTAAGGGGCTGTGCCACGGGCTGGTGGTGCCTGGCGAGGGAGAAGCTGGAGGGACGTGGTGGGGACGGGTCCCTGGGGCTGGGGGGGACGTGCCAGCCCCGCTCAGCTGCCCACCCCCAGGCTGCACAGCAAACCAAAGAGCCTGCGCCCCAAAATGCCACTGAAAATATGTTTGGAAAACAGCAACTGTTTCAGTTTTTTCCAGAAGAAAAAAAAAATCAAAGCAGTTTCTCAAGCTTTTTTTAAAGCCTCAAATGGATTTTTTTTTTCCTTTTTTTT